GTTTTAGGGTAATCATCTGCCTGTAAATAATATCGGAGAAAGAAACAGTAATGGTAACTGTATTTTTACATCATAAAGAAATCAATTATGAAAACTAGTTGTAAGTATCATTCTGCTTTAGCGTAAGTTGCATAAACTTCCTGCTATGTATACATGTATATATAATGAGCTTAAACAATAAGGATTGAGATTTAGATATTCAGGTAAAATATATTTATATAAATATTAGTTTATATATATATATATATATATTTATATACTAGATGACCCGACAGACGTTGTGCTGTACCCACATCTACGTTTTTCTAATATTCTATACTAATATCTTCTATATATATAAAAATAAGTCGGGTTTTCCTTCCTGACGAAATAACTCCAGAACGCACGAACCGATTTCGACAATTTTGCATTCGTTGGAAAGGTCTCGGGCTCCGCAAGGTTTATAGCTAAGAAAATTAGTGGTGCATGGCATCGTGCCCTAATGCAAATTCCTGGAACTTCACGCACCGTGATTAAAAATTCGAGTAATAAAATTAATCAATAATTGTTTTAAATAATTGCAAATAGATTATCTTCTATATATATATATATATATATATATATATATATATATATATATAAAAATAAGTCGGGTTTTCCTTCCTGACGAAATAACTCCAGAACGCACAAACCGATTTCGACAATTTTGCATTTGTTGGAACGGTCTCGGGCTCCGCAAGGGCTGTAGCTTACAAAATTAGTGGTGCATGGCATCGTGCCCTAATGCAAATTGCTGAAACTTCACGCACCGTAATTAAAAATTGAAGTAATAAAAATAATCAATAATTGTTTTAAATAATTGCAAATAAATTATCTTCTATATATATATATAAAAATAAGTCGGGTTTTCCTTCCTGACGAAATAACTCCAGAACGCACAAACCGATTTCGACAATTTTGCATTCGTTGGAAAGGTCTCGGGCTCCGCAAGGTTCATAGCTAAGAAAATTAGTGGTGCATGGCATCGTGCCTAATGCAAGTTGCTGAAACTTCACGCACCGTAATTAAAAATTCGAGTATTAAAAATAATCAATAATTGTTTTATATAATTGCAAATAGATTATCTTCTATATATTAAAAAAATAAGTCGGGTTTTATTTCCTGACGAAATAACTCCAGAACGCACGAACCGATTTCGACAATTTTGCATTTGTTGGAAAGGTCTCGGGCTCTGCAAGGTTTATGGCTAAGAAAATTAGTGGTGCATGGCATCGTGCCTAATGCAAATTCCTGGAACTTCACGCACCGTGATTAAAAATTCGAGTAATAAAAATAATCAATAATTGTTTTAAATAATTGCAAATAGATTATCTTCTATATATATATATATATAAATAAGTCGGGTTTTCCTTCCTGACGAAATAACTCCAGAACGCACAAACCGATTTCGACAATTTTGCATTTGTTGGAACGGTCTCGGGCTCCGCAAGGTCTGTAGCTTACAAAATTAGTGGTGCATGGCATCGTGCCCTAATGCAAATTGCTGAAACTTCACGCACCGTAATTAAAAATTGAAGTAATAAAAATAATCAATAATTGTTTTAAATAATTGCAAATAAATTATCTTCTATATATATATAAAAATAAGTCGGGTTTTCCTTCCTGACGAAATAACTCCAGAACGCACAAACCGATTTCGACAATTTTGCATTCGTTGGAAAGGTCTCGGGCTCCGCAAGGTTTATGGCTAAGAAAATTAGTGGTGCATGGCATCGTGCCCTAATGCAAATTCCTGGAACTTCACGCACCGTGATTAAAAATTCGAGTAATAAAAATAATCAATAATTGTTTTAAATAATTGCAAATAGATTATCTTCTATATATATATAAAAATAAGTCGGGTTTTCCTTCCTGACGAAATAACTCCAGAACGCACAAACCGATTTCGACAATTTTGCATTTGTTGGAACGGTCTCGGGCTCCGCAAGGTTTGTAGCTTACAAAATTAGTGGTGCATGGCATCGTGCCCTAATGCAAATTGCTGAAACTTCACGCACTGTAATTAAAAAATCGAGTAATGACATTATTGAGAACTATCAGAATTATGCTTGCAATTAAGTAAACGAGCAATTCTTGCCGCAAAGACTAATGATGTACACGCACTGAATTTCACCATTCAATCAAAAATTGCTGGCGATTTGGTGACAAACCAATGATTCCGACTGGTCTTCCGTTTGACTTCAAACGATTGCAATTTCCAGTTTGCTCACGTTTGCAATGGCAATGAACAAGTCGCAAGGCCAATCGCTTAGTGTTTGCGGGATAAAATTCAAATAGATTATTTAGAAAATCATTGTTTTTTACATGGGCAGTTATACGTTGCCTGTTAACGAGTTGGAAAACCATCCGCTTTGTTTGTGTTAACGTCAGACCAATGAACAAATAATGTGGTTTACCAAAGAGCACTTCAATGAAACGGATAATTTGCGGATTCACTTTCATTTACTTAGAGAAGTTCAACTAAAAAACACTTTATTTTTGTATTCGAAATTAATTTATTATTGTTGTGTAATAAAATCAAAATTTTCCTTTTCAAATATAAAACAAACAAAAAATTTCCTCATTTTTCTCACGAAATCATCTGGTGGCGAAACGGAGTGCGTCGGGTTTGCTAGTATTAGAATAAATATATTTATACCGTTTAGTTAAAAAATCATTATTGGTTTTCGAATTACTATTTACACCAATATATGAGTGATGTTGAATGTAGAACTGTTTCAAATAAAATGATTATTCTCAATTCCCACAGTTAACACTTTAATTATCCATTTAACAAATAATAAAAAATGTTCAATAAAATTATATATTAAAAATTATACACCGCAAATTTATTTCCAATAGCTCAATTTATTTTATTGCCAAGGGTTATACAATCTTTCAGTCATACCTGTACATGTGGATGTATAAATAACTGATTTTTTGTTTATTTATGACTAAAACATTGATTTTCTAAATTTATCACACAAAAAATCATCGTCTGCCTTTGTGATTTATGGTCATAGCATAAGACACACGTGTTGAAAATTGAAGTCTTTTAAAAGGTATAACAAATTCAGAAATAATTAATATATAAGTAGCATTCGCGGTATAGGTACAATATCACTTTGGATTTTCTACCCAAAATAATTCAATAGGCTTCAATAATTGTGCCTATAATTCTTATAATTACGTACCATATTTTAACTGGCTTTTAGTAATTTACGATCTAAATTAATTTTTTTTCACTAATAATGTAATAGACATTATTACTTAAGTTTATATTTGAAGTGAATTAATTTATCAAATCCTGTTCACATGTGCTCTATTCAACCTACGATCAACAAAATTATTGCAGTAAATGGAGAGGAAAAAAGCGTGTGTCGGAAATAGGCTAATCTTTATCTTAAGTTCAGAAGTGAAAACAATTTGCCCTTCGTCACCACCCACAGGATTAATTGAATTATAACTTTTTTAATTCTGATTTTATCAATACTTGCAGTACACTATTTTAAAGGTACATAATTATAAATGAGCTACAACTTTCTCTATCATAAATTTTACCGCAACTTCTCTTATTTTGAAATGGCGAAGGATTGAAGGACTCGAAAGACATTCTGGTTGGACACTATCAATATTTGTGTAACAGAAAAATAATAAAAAGCAATAATTGATCAGTAAAAGACCTTGAATTTTCATTCATATACCTTTATACGTATCTTTTATTTTCTTAAATAGATTTTTTTTCATGAAATCATGAGCTTTTTTGAAATCGTTTGCGCTAAAGTTATGGTATTTTCTAGAATCCGTCAAGATCTCTTAAGCCAAGTTGATTCTAGAGGGAATACGATTATTTTTAATTTTGGTGGAAATGGCACACAAAAACTATTTGCTTTAAATGAAAAAAATATTGCATGCGTCTTTTATCTGCATGATAGCTCACTCATTTTACACGCAGAAGTACTCATCTTAAAGCTAATTTTGAGTACTATAAAACCCCATTTTCATATGTAGCCTAATATTGTTCCTAGATGTACTTGGAATTTTTGAAAAATCTATTTTTATTTTTTTGCATTTTCATTAAGTGTAATAACTAGAAAATGTTCTCTGAAAATTTCAAGTTGATCCGATGATTACTTTTTGAGTTATTGGACTCTTACCAGCGCGCTGACGCAACTGGAAAGCTCGATACTTTTACTCAAGATTATTCTCCCTTACCTCCTGATGTTTTAAAAGCTTTTAAACCGATTTACGACGATCTCAGCAATGATAATTTACTTTCAGGAATTGTAGTTCAAGATTGAATCTATAATCAGGAAAAATTAGAAGCTTCAACCAATTAGTGTAAAAAATATGCCTAAAAACCGTGAATACTAGGTCTACTATCGTACAAATTGCTGAATACATATACATAATCATTATTATTGATTATGGATACCCTAGGACCCAATTGTGGGTATAATTCCCATTGGTATGCTAAAAAATTGGATGGCTGCACGTGTGAAAGTGGCAGATCAGCGCGCCAACGAGAACACTCGGGAGGCCAGAGTGCTTCGTTGGCAACAGCAAATGGAAATTTTGGAAACTTGCACAATGACTGATGTACTATTATATGGTCCAGAAATAGATGACTCGGCTTAAGTAACTCAATAATTCGAATTACTGTACGTAAATCCAATGTGAAACTTTAAACGCGTTTTTCTCAAAACACCGTTTTTTGAACCGGTGACCACTGTAACTCAAAAACCTCTTAGTAAATTTTATTGAAATTTATACAGCTTTTAGAATACGTAATAAACTCGGGCCTGATCGAAGGATTTTTATTTTATCAAAAATATCAATTTTTTAAGACCAATTAACTGTTGATTTTTTACTGAAAAACCTGGAAATTATATTTCTGATGCTGCCATTTTGTTAATTTTTGCAAAAAAAAGAAAACCTTTGATCAGGCTCAGGATTATTTGTTTATAAAACTATTTTTTTTATTTGATTGACTTTAGATAAATCTTTGAGGAGTTATGATGGTCACCACCAGGACCGTTTTTTGAAACAGGTTCAACAAAAACAGCTATAACTTTGGGAATATTTATTTTTTTCTGAAATTTTTGTTACTTCAAGTCAAAACATTGTATAATGATGCCGTATTAATATTTTTGTAAAAAAGCATCGTTTAATAACAAAAAAACAATACTGAAAATTCTCATTTTTTCGTACCTCCAAGTACCCCTAACCCCTTAAAGCAAAATGCCACTTACATCAAACCGGACCTAGGCCAAAAAAACAATTGTAAATCTAGTTAACGACATCTTGCTATTGCTATGCTTATTTATCTATGCCTAACGATTTGTGTTGCGTGACTGTCTTTCTAGAGTCTCTACTCGCTATACTACGCACTATATTCACTATGTGCGTGGCTGCAGCGCCCATGCAGCGCCGTAATAAATATGGACTAATTGCGGCTGCGGCTCAGTTTGTGGTTTTTATGGGTTTTATATGTTTGTTAAAGAAAAAAGATATTAAATCATTTTTATATATAATAATAAACAAGATACAGTAAAGAAATTATTAAATTTACATCAACGTACTTAAAACATAATTAAGTATAATGATTAATAAAATAAAGAAATGCAGTAAACATTTTTAAAGTTAAGTGCCTCAAAGTTATGTCATAATCTCGGAATAGTTCTTAATAAAAACAATATAATAATGATAAAAATATTTTATCAATAGAATAAGTAAATAATAAATTAATTTACTCATTTTTTTATTATTTTTGGTCAAATTAAAGACTTACAATAGATTTCAGCATTGTATTAATTAAACCGTTTGCAAAATAAATATTTTAGCGCTATATGATAATTTTTATTTTTCTTTTAATCATAAAATTACAATTATTATATAATAAAATGTAATTAATATATAGATAATAGTTATACATAATCAATATACGATATATAAATATATAATTTTCATTATCTTAGCCTTGTATTAATTACATTGTTTGCGAAACATTTTTTTCTAGTAAGCATTAAATTTTGATAATATAACAATTTATTGACTTATAATTTTTCTTTTTGCTAAACATAACAATTTTACAACTATTCATAGTACTCCGAATTGAATTTTTATAACAATAAGGTTATGATACTTACCCTAGACAATATTAGAATACCCCGTGTTCATACTTACTTTATTCTTCTAACCGCAGCGATTCACATTTTCCGTTTATTTTCTTTCCACTTAGCTGTAGAAAATGTATAGAATTTGCAGTCACTTTTTCTGCTAGAATTTTACAACCCACTACACAACAGCTTAGATGGCTCATTTTTAATTATCTTATTTAAATTTGAAATGAACAAATATTTTATGTGTTTAAAATTTCTGTTATAATAGCCTACTTTAATGCTCAAAGTAGCCACTACGAACGCTTCGGTCGATTTGTCTTCCCCTAAATTGTATATTATATAATATTTTCCCAACAATTTCGAACACACGGACTTTCATTTTACGTTTAAGCGATCGAGTTTGACATATCTCGGCCGCGAAATTACCCTCATATGCCCTCATACCATAGAACACCTTTTGACATTTTTGTACCTGAGAAATGTATGGGGACTAGCAGTCCATGCATATAAGGTCTATGGCCACGGCTCTGAGCTCACCAACTTCACATTGCTCTCTGATAATTGTCATTTATTATAATCAAAGATGGCGAATACTGTCAATTTACTGTGATATATATTGTTTCTAAAAAACCTTATAAACTTTTGTTTAAGTGATTTCTAGACTAAAAATACTACATGAATATAATATTGAATTATATAATGTTAAATTTTGTGTTTCCAGTTCCCAATTATTAACATGAACGGGTCTCTTGATTTAGCTTCTGCGTTAGAGGAGATATCGGATCGCGAAGATGGCGAAATCTTTGATTCGGACGATGGAACAATTAACTTGGAGAATGTGTCGTCCCTGGAAGATGAAATCGCGGTCACTAGAGAAATACACTACCAGGCGAAGAGGAAGAAGTCTTACGAGCATAAAAGTAAAGGTATGCTAAATGTTTATTTTTGATTTTTTATGTTCAATACTTAACCTTGACTCGTGCTCGCGTAATATTTGGCTCGATTTTATTGTAACGCAGTTGCTTCAAACAAATGTGTTATTAAATAGCACAATGATATCAAATATACCTAGTTGAATTAATTTAGTCAGCATGTTGCAGGAGAATGACGCCCATGTGACTAGAAGAATTTGGAATTATTTTGAAAGTTTTCTGGTTTATTTTTTATTGTTGAGGGTAAATCAATATGGACTCAATTATTAAACATCTTGCCATGTTATCTTATCACTTGTTTAAGAAATATAAAAAAGCCAGAACATTGACAATGAAAAGTCAATGGATTAAGTTAGGTTATGTCATTTAACTTGTTTTATTTTATTTTTAACCTTTTAACAATTTATTTTTGAGAGAAAATGCAAAATTTCTTTTCATTTCACTTTCTTTAATAGTACTTTAAATTCGATTAATTACAGTAAATTTAAAGTAATATGATTAATTACAATAAATTTACTTGATATACAGTTTTAGTATTTTGAAGTGTTCAACAAATAGTCTTAAATTGCATTCAGACATTATAATTTTGCTTGTTTTAGAACAGCATTCGGAGAACATTTTTAATTTCCAACATATTTTTGTCTCAGTTTGTATTACCCAATGAAAAAGAGAGATTAAATACCAATTATAAATGTATACTTTGAGCCCCACTTGGGGTAATTTACCCTGGATCTCCAACTTCTCCAAAAACTTTATATTGCTTGCATTGTTCCATGAGCACTGCCGAAACATTTATTTTATAGTTTTTGATAGCAGGGGAGTTACCTATGTGTTTGTCAATTCTATCAATGTTTCATCATTTACAGCTTTAGCAATTTTTTATTCCTTTTTAATTTTTATTTTGTGAATACATAACTAAAAGTTATACAACACGAGTGAAATGCAATGGCTACTCTAAAGTAATAAATACTGTTCAAATAATTTTATCAAGGCAGCAAAGCTACTGCACCGTATTTATCAATAAAAAACATTACATTTTTGAGTTATAATAAGTAATAAATTAATGAGCTAGAATAGACTTATTACCCAGTAGCATTTTCAAGTTAAGTTTGTAATTTACAGATTGTGAAAACAAAACACATTTTCTGCCTTTCAATGAGCAAGTAGTTAGATAAAAGAAAAAGTTTAATAGAGAATGGACCTATATATTTGAACATAGTGAAACAACTTGTAAAATTCTAAATTCATATAGTATTAATTTAATATTGTATTACAGAATTTACAAACATTTATATTTATTAAAGTATAGCAAAAAGTACAAGTTCAAATATTTAAATTAACTTCAATACAAAATAGAAACCAGCTATTCGCGTTGAGTTTTAATGCCTCATCATTTAAGGGGCACAACTAGGGTAACCGGCTAAAAAAAGATTTTTGGGAATTTATATTAAAAAAACTACTTTATCAATCATACCGCCTAAAAAAAAGATTTTTGGGAATTTATATTGAAAAAACTACTTTATCAATCATTTCAAAATATTAGGAATATATTTATACATGTTTTAAGAATACATAGTAAAATTTTCATAGAAAAAAATTAAATATTTTTTAAGTTATCGTCGATCTCCAACGGCGCGACAAAAAAATGCCCTTAACTGCTGCAGTGAGTCCGGCCTTCTACGTGGATGAAATCAAAAAAAAAATTCTTGTTAAACTAGATAATATTGTCTGTAAAATAAACTACGATTTAAAAAAAAAAATCAAAAATTCACAAAATGGCGGCGTTTTAAAAAAAAGTCGAATTTTACCCAAAATTTTGGTCGTTTTCGACTGCCAAATTCGATTTTTGATTCGATCAAAAAATCAAAGTATTTTAATAATATATTACTTTGCAATTTGCCAGTGCTTAATTTTTCTTTTTTGTTACTTTGCTAGCGATAACTATGGTCAAATATTATGCAAGGCACGGAGAGTCTTTTTGATACTAAATTTAATATTAAATTTGTGCATACATTAAAGAATTTATGCACAATGTTCAATCAAAATCGAATAGACTTATAATCATTGCTGTTGCATTTATTTTCAATATATATATCTAATAAAATAAACTTTCATTTCATAAACAAAACTATTTTAACGTAAAATATAAAATCTATCTTTTAGAAACATGAAAAAAAATATAGAAAAGATATTTATGGTCAAATATTATGCAATGCTTGTAGAAGACTCATTGCATTATATTTTCTATAGGAATAAAGATTCAATTTTAGAAAAAAAAATTACTTATTAATAAAGTTTTCATCCCCACCTCATATTGACTAATAATAAATAATAAATTATGTGTATGTTTGTATATTCATTAGTTTTATTTTCAAGATACCTCTAATGTTTAAAAATTGATTTTTCTTTTTAGAATATATTGAGTTATAAAGATTTTTTAAATTGATCTTTTATTTCATAAACAAAACTGTTTTAAACATTTCAATATCACTTGAAATATAAAATATTTCAAAGAACAATAGATTTAAAATTTTCAAAAATATTTTTTTTTTTAATACTTGACTATGAGATTTTTGCTTTTACTTCATTTTGCTAAACACATAAAATAACTCATTTTATTTCATTTTTTTTAACTAAATAATCTACACACTTTACTCAAAGACCAAATTTTATATCATTATGTTCTTTGTAAAATGCTGTGCCAAATATTTTTTAGGAAATATACTTCAGATCAAAGCTTAATCAAATATGTTTCTATATTATTTCGATTTAGAGTGAAATGCTGTTTTATATTATAATAACTTGTGTATGCTATATTTGTCCCTCATTATTGAATTGTGAAATTAATGTTTTATTTCTCGAGATACAGAACAGGTGCTGGATCACAAGGAAAATAACTTGAATCAATTATATGAGGATATTTCGGATTCGGATTCCTACAGAGAATATAAACCAAAAAGAAGGAAAAGGAGTCAAACAAAGTCTCGAACAGATTATTATAAACATGTTTATAGACATAATCGTGAAGAATTTCCAAAGTATTCTTATAGAAATGGCTACAATAGAAAAAAAGATTATTCTTCAACATCAGATCGAGAAGTAAAGGATACAGAGTCTGTTAAATATAAACTAAAGAGTGTAGCAAGTAAGAAAAAATCTAATATCAAAAATTCTGAGAAGTATTTGAAGAGCAAAAATTCAATTTTGAGTTCTGATTCTGATACATCTGATGAATTAAAAAGGAAGAAAAAGAAATTGAAGGATGCTTTGACTATTGATAGCACCAATAAGTCTGATTTAAAACAGCGTTTGATGCAAATGATGGGCAAAGATGATCAACAAAATGTTGAAAAGAAGCCAAAAACTGATGCTATTGTTGAATTATCTTCAGACGAGGATACTGATTTATTAAGATTACGTCTGTTAGCTTTGAAATCTAAAAATGTGGAAAACACTGATGCAAATATTTGTAATAAGAAAACAGCTGGTGATAATAGCATAGTGATAGAAACACCTTTAGTTGATAATGTACAATCAATTGAAATGAAATCTGATGAGTCTTCAGGTAACAATAATATTGAAAATGAATCTGAGGAGGTCTTACAATTACGCATTCAAGCATTAAAATCTGCAATGATTCGAAAGCATTTAGCAAGGAAAAATAAGACAGTGGAAGAACAAGCTGATGATCCATCCGCACAAAATGTTGATGATTATTTAGTTCCTTATTCTCCAACACAGCCAGTGTATGATTTGTCTCAAAATGACAGCTTTAACAGCATTTACACAGTAAGTTCTGAAGATGTATATATACCAAATCCAGAAGTGAACAACAATCCCACCATTCCTGAGGACAATGTAGTTGTATCAAATGAAGCTTCTTTAACTAAACCTTTGGTTTTAGAAAAAGAGGAGGCAAATGAATCAGAAAAGAAGTTAATATCACGCAAACGAGTTAGAACGAAAAGCATAGGAGTTAATAAAAATAATGAAGTAATCCCTGCAAAGATAACAGCTGTTGCAAAGCCAAATGTAGTTAAAAGTGCCAATAATAAAGCTTTGATTAAACCACTTGTTACAAAAATACCTGCGGTTGATTCAACAAAGAGTGCTTTAAACAATAAAGCAAATAAAATGTCTAAACATGAAAGCTTGGAAGAAGATGAAGATATTTTAAGGGCAATGCTTTTGACAACGTTGAGCAATAAAGTTGCTGATGGTACTAATTTAAATAAAGAAAATATGTTGGAAGTAAGTAAAAATTCTGATGCTGTTAAGCAAAGCAACAATAATGTAAAAATTATTAAGAAAACTGTTACAAGTACTAAGATTATTAATAAACCAGTGACTCGAAGAAAAATTAACAAACTGCAAGATTCTAAAGATGCTAATATTGTAATAAAACCTAAAATTCCTGAGATCAAGGTTCCAAAGTTAATCATCAATTTAGGATCAGATTCTGATACAGATGATGAGTTATTTAAAACCCCCAAAAAGAATCAAAACAACGAGAAAGAGAACCAAAAGGTATCTACTCAAGATTTTGAAAAAAGCTTGGATATCTTTTTGAAAACGGCTCGTAGTAAAATAGAAAGTACAGCAGATAATGAGTCTACCATCATTGAAAAAGGAAAGGTAAGCCTTCAGCCAGGAGACACAAGTAATTTACAAAGACCAGTAAAAAATTTGACAAGTGCAACTGGGTCAGAGCAGTTGAAAGCAAAAGTTAATACAGAGAAAGTTATTAAAAGTTTAAAAAGAAACAGTGTATTAAAATCTGGTTTAAGAGCTACAAGTAGTTCGATAAGCAAATTAACAACTTCTCCAACTAAAGTTGCAGTTACTCCTAAGGTAATAATTGTTTTGTTATATTTACTTAATTAAATACAAACTTGTTTTATTTTATTATATTTTTAGATTATAAAACATATGTCTGCTGCTCAACAGCGAGAGTACCGTCAGTTAGTTCAAAGAATTCTCTTACTGGAAAAAAAAAAGAAATTGAAAACAAATACAAATGTTTCTGCTGATATTAAAGCTTTACCAAAATCTGCCAAGACCTTGGTTCAAAATCAAGCAAAAGCTAAGATGAAATTATCAGACAATATTGACACCGCAAAAAAAGTTAATGACATTAACAAAATGGAATTGGTTGCTGCTTCTAATATTCTGCAAAATGCCAACAGCACCAAAGTTCTTGGTGACAGTACAAAAAATAATACAACCATTGATCTTACAGTTGAATCAAAGACTTTGCAAAATGTAAAAGCTATTGCAAATTTTGCAAAAGCTGTAGAAACTAATACAAAAACTGCTAAAGACATTAAGAAAATGGAATTGAATGCTGCTTCAAACATTCTGCACAATGCCAACAGTACCAAAGTTCTTGGTGACAGTACGAAAAATAATGCAACCAGTGATCTTACAGTTGAATCAAAGATTTTGCAAAATGTAAAACCTATTCCAAAGTCTGCAAAAGCTTTGGAAAATAATACAAAAGAAAATTTGGTACTTTTGGACTATAATATAAATACCAATTCTAATAATACTGTTGCAAGTAGCATTAGTACAACTTTGAAATCAGCACCAAATTGTGAGCAGGTACAAACCGACAATTCAAAATCACAGTCCAGTGTAAAATCTTATTTAGAAACCTCAAACACTAATGCTGACACATCAAAAAAGGATACGAAAATACTAAAGCCTGATGCAAATGTTTCTGAAATCAAACTGAATCCTGATGTAAAGAATATTGTTTTAGACACGGATCCACAAAAAAGAAAAACATTTAATCTGGTTCAACAAATAGTTGCACCTACAGCATTCATTGATTGTATAAATTTGATGCGCAAAAAATTTAATTTAACATCAAATACAGCAGTGTCTATAAAGGACGAAGTGGTGAACAAGAGTTCTGAAAGTGATGAAAATTTTATAAGTGATGGCAAAATTCAGGATAAATTGAATATAGGCAATATTGATGTTAAAAATGATGGTAAAGCCAGTGTAGTGAATGCAGTTGAAAACTTCAATGGTTCTAAAATTACGCAGCTTTTAAACAACGATCATGTTGTAGACAGTAAAGATCAAGTAAACAGCATTAGTTCTGTAGATAATTTAAATGTTTGTGAACAAATGGATGTCGTTGACAACAAAATAGGGGATATATCTATTGTGGTGACAAGTGCTGGCAATACAACAAATGTAAATGTTGCAAATGACATGGGAGGCGCAACAAATGCATCAACAATCCAAAATATTATTGATAACAAAATTACTGCTCTCGCAAACGAATCAATGTTCATTGATAATACAATCCAGAGTGATACTTGTGACAAAATGGATGTTTTTGAGAACATATTGCCTGATAATAAAATGGAAGTAATCGAAAACAAAGTTGAAGCTCGTGTGCCACTGGCACAAAATATTAAAAGTTTACCAAGTACAGTGAATACTATTCCTAAAGTGAAAGTAAATATAAAAACTAATGATGTGAACATGGATCCGCAGAAGAAAGTCTTGAAGTACAAGGAGTTACATGATAAGGAAAAACGCTTGATAAAAAAACGGTAAGTGAAATATCTATTTATAATAAAAAAATTACAAAGTTAATTGTTTAGTGCAAGCAGTTTTAGTTTAAGACTTTAAAACTGTTAGATTTAAAAAATGTTTGTTTTTGCGAATAAATCAGATTTGCTAATTTTAAGTTTTTTTGGTGTTAAGTTATTCTGAATTGAAGGAAACCTAATTTGGAAAAATGCATGTGTGTGTGTACGTGAGTCGGTTTTGTTACCTTTCGTCGATGTTTTCTCAAAAACTGCTAACTCGATAAAGACTACTAACGTTGATTAGTTTATTTTAGATGGTCGGCCGAACCGTATCTTTATAACTAGCAGAAAAGTATAAAAAATATTTACCCGCGTTTTAGCCTACAATCCGGATTGGATTGTGATTTGGCGAGCCGTTTCTTCGTAATTTTACGAAGCTACTGATCATAGTCTGCTCGAGCTATCGCCATGATGTGAGAAAACTATAAATCAATAATTTACTTTTCATCTCATGTTTTTATTCCCATTACCATTTTGTTATCACTAACCATTATTTTTATGCGCTTTTATGTGCGAGGATCGTTCAATAAGTACTCAGCCTACCAATGAAAAAATAAAATTTTTGGAAAAGTGGAAATTTTCGCCGAAAGCTATCTCATACCCAGTTCTTTGTGTAGAATTCTACAGTCTCAGGGTCATTACGAGACCATGTTTTTTTTTTAATATTTTCGTTTGCAGCGGCTTTTTTTGGCCACCTGGACGTGGCTTGCTAAAAACGACGTGTGACCACGACCAACTTTTGACGGTCGCCATCAAAAGAGAAGAGTCATCGTATACAGCATCCGAACGATCTTCGATTTTGGCGCACGTTTTCCCTTTCATAAAATAATAACCTAATCACCAAATGATATTATTTTATTTACATTTTCGTAAAACTGAAGGTCGCGTTTGCTTCCAAAGGCTTGTCAAAGCAAATCTATTGAAGAGAATTGACTGAAAATTTGACAGTAGGCTAATAAAAAAAAATGCACTACCTGATATTGAAATTTTTTTGTGATAGAAGTTTCATCTTGCGGCGAGGCTAAATACTTGTTGAAGGACCCGTGTATTTTTCTTTCAAATGCTTTCTTGATCCTGTGCTTCGGTTTTCCGTTCCCTATATTTTTTCTTCTTGTATACATAAGGGGGTATTTGGTCTAGAATTTGTGTTTGTTTTTTTTTGCATATTTTGAAAGAATATGTGTCCAAGAGGATTATTAAAATGTATATATTTTCGGAATTATAGTTGTTTGAGCATGATAATACTTCTGTTTCCTTTCTCGCAAAACTGTCTTTCTCAAAACAATACCCACGATTTTTCAATTTCTACTGAATCGATTTTCTTTAAAATTCACATTGTCTTCTTTGTATTTTTTTTATGACTTCATTTCTATATTTCGATTTTTACTATTTAAAAAAATTGGAGAACATCAAAAAAAAGTTGTAAACAAACAAATTCTTTTTATCGGATGGTCGCTATTTTGTGGAAAAAAAATTCATTTTGTCAGTATTATAAGCGATATCGACGTTATACTAGATTAATAATTACATATACGTAATTTTTAAAAACCACAATTAGATAACGTATTGATTATTTTTTTTAGTGAAAGCTAACATTTTATTTTCGAAATATACAGTTGAATATTTTTTACCTAAATGGCTGAATCTCAATCCTTATTGATCAAGTTGATTTTGTTTACATATCGAGAAGTTAACTCAACTTGCCTTAAGACAATATGCTTCTTACAACTAGTTACCATTTTGTATGAATCAATACATTTTTAATATACTAACCTTGAAATCATATAACGTTTGTCATAAAATTAAAATAACAAGTAGCATATTTATTATTCTTTCATTTTAGTATGGAGTTCATAACTGACATCGATTCTCTTGTGAAACTCGTTGCAAAAGCTCAAACTGAAATAGACAAAGAGACAGCAATAAAAAAGGAAATATCAGATCTACAAGAACAGATTCGAAAAGCCGAGGAAAAACTAGGAAAGCAGAAGTTAGTAACAGACAAGCTATTGGAAAACGTATCTGCAGGAAAGAGAAAACTGACTTCAGGGAAGAAACAGTGTATTGCTTTGAATCATTCTTGCATGGCGCTGGGCAGTCAGCTTTCTTCATCATACAGGTGAGAATTAAATTTTTAAAATACAGTGGTACTCTGACATACGAGTTTAATTTGTTCCGTAACCACGCTGTGGTTAATAACAATTCATGTGGAAGTGTTTATATCTCCAAGCATATAAATACATTGAAATGCCATTAATTCGTTCAAACACTGTGGTTTTTGTTAACTTTTTTAATATTAAATAATTTTACAGTTAATAATTTCATTATTGTTTTTCTTATCCATTCATAATTTCGCAGAAATGAGTTTTATTTTTCGGGGTGATTTTTATTCACAATCTTATAGAGCTCAGAATGCTGCTTATAAATTATTGCTAGATCCAAATGTAGCTATAACTTTTATGAACTCTTTCTGTTTGAACACAGTACATATCTATGAAGCATTATGCTTGTGCACCCTTGCATTCTTCTATTATTCAAAAATTAAATTCCCGTAGGGTGGTTATAGCCTAAAGTCGAAAATGAAATTTTTTCCATTTCTCCACGTTTTGAAGGTTTCTGAATATTTTGGCATTCCTCAGCGAAAAATGGATGTGTGTGTGTTTTGTGTGTCCGCATTTTTTCGTTCACTTTCTCGGGCGCACGGATCAACCGATTTGAATGGTTCAAAAATCATTCGATTCCTATTGATAAGGAGATATGCTGATTAGTTTTTGGCAAAGGCAGGTCCAGCCGTTATGAAGCTAAAGAGCAAAGAGTGCAGAAAATAGAAATCGATTTTTTGAGAGTACGGAGCATCCGATTTGAATGATCTAAAAAATATTCAATTAGTAATGATTGGGAGAAGTAGTTATTAGTTTTTGGCAAAGGTAGGCCCAGCCATTTCGAAGATACACAGCTAAATGTACAAAAAATGGCAATTTTTCAAAATTTCAGATTCAAAAAACTTTCTGCTTGTGTAGACAAAACAATTGTTATTGGAAAAAAAAAGAAATTTTATTTTTTTTTTGTATATCGAAAATAATTCAGATTTCAATTTCAATTATAGCTAAAGTTTTAAAGCTCATTTATATACTTCAAATAAATATTTTTGATTTTGTGATGTATGTATGTATGTATTTGTGTGTGTATGTGTGTGTGTGTGCGTGCGCGTGTGTGCGGATACACATTTTCGTCGACGATTTCGGGAACACGGTTCAACCGATTCCAATTATTCAAAAAACATTCGATTGCTCTTGATAAGGAGACGTGCTGATTAGTTTTTGGCATAGACAGGTCTAGCCGTTTTGAAGATATGGGCAAAAAGTGCAACAAACGGTAACTCAGTTTTTAAGAGAACGGAGCGTCCGATTTTAATAATTCAAAAAACATTTTACTTGTATTGACAAGATGAAGAACTGATTGAATTTTCATGAAGGGGCAGGTCTAGCGGTTTCGGAAATCTAGTGAAAAAAGTAAAAAAATCTATTATAACATAACTTAACGTTAGGTACGACAAATTTGAAGCGTTCGAGAAGTTAAGGCTCATCCAAAGCACCTCTCACAATATTTACTCCATAGCAGAAGGTGAGGCATTTTCTTCTAGCATCGAGTGGCGTAATGTTAAGATGGTTGTACATTTGGGTCCTACTTATCTGAATATTATTCTTGTATCTGCGGAATCTTAGATGATTGACAATTTTTTCTGGACAGATGCAATTCTGTCAATCTGATATTGGTAAATCGGGTCCCAAATTATACACCCATACTCCAATGTTGGTCTAACTAAGGTATGAAACGATGCCATGCGCCCCACTAGTTTTTATAAATATTAGACAATGTAACTGTATTTATAATAATCTATTTGTAAACATTTAATATTCCTCGAACATTTCGTTAGGGTACGGAAAGTTCCAGCAATTTGCCTTAAGGCACGATGCCATACACCACTAGTTTTATGCTTTAATTCAAGAGACGTGGCCCTTTTTTAGATCCATATTCATAAAATAGAATAATACTTTGAAATTTTCAAAAATAAAAAACGTGATTTTTTATATCAAAAACAAGATGGCAATTTGATAATTAACTTAAATTAGATTCAAAATAGTAAATACTATTTAAGGATGCAATAAGTCAGTTTTTTTTTAATAATCATTTTTTTATCAGAATTACTGACTTTTAGTGAGGTTTTATAATTTGATTAAATGTTAATATAAGTTATTTTATACAATTAGAGAATGCTATATCTTTATACCGCCCGAATTTTCAGAGGTATTAATACCGGTATTTTCGGTATTTTTACATAAGCGCTAGTTGATACATATTACACTCGAATTTAAATTTCTAGGAACAAATTCATCTTTGAATTCCATAATCGCATAAACAGATATATCTTTAAGTTGTCATTAAACTGAATATTCGTTGCTTTTCAAAAGGCTTCATATTGTGTTACAATAAATAGAATCGGACTGATTGAAAATGATGTTTAATTCATCTTATTCAAAAATGTAGCGGTTTTTTATGGTGACATCTGCGCCTAAATTTTTTATATCATAAATACTCTCAATCGACAAAATAAAGATTACCACTGCGTAATATTTACTAAAATTTTTTGCTATTTATTACAATTATAAAATATTATTTTACGTAAATCGTATCGCAGTTTGAAATGATTAAAGGACCATTATATTGTTTTGAATAAAAATACTCAACAATTATAGTATGTTATTATTTATCTTAATAAAGTATCGCAACTTAAATTAGTATAGAAAAATTCCTGTTTTAGAATCTTCAAAATATTGGAAATTATGCTGATTTAACATATCGGATACAGACAATACAATTTTTTATAATAATGTAATATGCTCTTCAATGAGTTTTTGGTCTTTCTTACTTACACGTTTGATTTTAGTGAAAAGTACTCAATATACTCGATACTGATGATGAGTTATTCAAGTTGGATATAACTTTGCTAAATTATTATTAAAAAAAATAAACTATTGTTTGTTTTATTGTTTAGTTGTATATAGTTGTAGTTGCATTAATAATTTTATACATTTGTACCAGTAACTATCAATTTTGTTCACATTTAAGATAATAATGTTTTACCGGTTTTGAAAGAGAAAATTCTGAAATATCGGTATTGAAATTTTTAGCGGTATTGCATTCCCTATTATACATATCTTATATACTTTGATTTGTATGTTTTTTTTTTGCTTTTAGCCTTTTATAAAATTCTGTTTTAAAAATATGCACTTGTTCCAGTCATAAAGTTCGTTTCTTAAAATGAAAATTAGAAATTATTGATGTGTGAGGTTATTTTAGGACGATTTTGTAATTTGATATGGTAATTTTCTTATTCATAGCATATTGTTTCATATAAGCATACTTGTATATATCATTTACAGATATATGATAGATAGTTGAAATTTTATTACCACGTAAGAGCAAAAATTCAATTTGAGTCTTTACTTTTCTAAAATCCGGGACAAATTGCTTTCAGATAATCTTGAGACAATAAGTGGAAATAAGTTACTTCACCTTACTATTAATATATAGTCAGGGCCGGTCCTGCCTTGCATGCAATGCTTGCAAAAAATGCGGGCGCAAGCCTTAGGGGGCGCCAAAACGAGTTTCGGAAATTAAATTTATAATATAATATTTATATTTTTTTATATAAAATCTAGAATTATTTATTTAAAATCTAGAATACTTAATAAATTATAATAAATAATTTAACTTAACTAGGGATACGGAGACACAAAAAGCATATTTATTTTGCAATGTGATATCAGTAAAAACAATTAACCGATTAATAATTCTGCAAATTAGTAAATAACAGCTCTGTTTCGCAATTTTTTCTTTGTTTGAAGTTACCGTGAAATCGAAAAAGAAATTATCTAGTTTTCAATCCCATGAGCGCAAACCTGCGAAAGATTAAATTAATTGTTGGGCATTATTGACGAAAAATTGCAAGCTGATGTAGTTGAATCGGAACTTGCAAAAAAATATAAACAAATTATAAGAAATGGGGAGTCAGTGCTTAGAAAATGACTTATTTATTCCGAGAAATTGAATTGTAATTTTTGCTTTTGTTGCAAATGTTTCGCATCTGTTGAACTTTGAATGTTGAAAACATGCGTGGAACAAATATGAAAAATAGAAGCAAAATTTACTTTGGAACAAAAATCTTAAGGCTTGTTTTATACCTAGTGGTGTCCATACTCTAAATTTAATAATTATTAACTATACAGAAATAATACATATCAAATATAATAAGTTTTTTTTTTCAATATTGTTCAAGAAATGTGTAATTTCTTTGCATTTTTTTCTGATTTTTGAACAATACTTCTAAAATACGTTAAAAATTCAACTTTAAAACAACAAGCTGATACTCTGAATATGACGGCTCTTACGATATCGATAAGAAGTTTACGAAGCAATTTTGGATATTGTAAATGATGAAAAATTAAATTAAATTAAAATTTAAAAAATCCAACATGAAATACGAGTGTTATGTTTGAAAATTAAATGCTAGTTTTTTTAAATATTAATATTGCACATATGTTAAAAATAATTGAAAATTTCAAAATACTTGATTATAATCAACCCCGAATCGCCTCGATTTTCTAAATAAATTTAAAATCAATATATTTTATATGCTTTTAGATTATATCTAATTTTTTGTGCACTAAATCCAGAATAATTAAAAATTAATTTATTTATTTCACTTAATATTCTTGTTAAATTAAAGTTATAGAATTTAAGAAATGCATTTCAGAAATAGTATTTATTATTTTGATGTCAAGATCTTTATATTTAAATATATATCTTTAATATTAAAATAATAATTAATATTTCTGAAATGCATTTCTTAAATTTTATAACTTTAATCTAACAAAAATATTAATTCTTTTGGTATGATAGTCGAACTTACATCCTTAACCAATTTACTACATATTGAATATTACTAAAATGTGATATTATGACAGGGATTGTTTTATTTATTGATATCGATAATAATAAATAAATTTAAAATCAATATATTTTATACCCTTCTAGATTATATCTAATTTTTTGTGTACTTAATCCAGAATAATTAAAAATAATTTTTTAAAAAATATGTAAATATTTATATAATTTTAATGATAAACTGTTAAAACGGTGAAAATTAATAATAGGGGGGGGGGCGCTATAAAAAAAGTTGCATGCGGGCGCTAAGGACCCCAGGACCGGCCCTGTATATAGTTAATGTTTCAAATTTTAAGATACGAGGGTTATGTAAAAAGTAACTTTTCCTTATTTTTGAGTGTACAACATGGTTTATTAATGCATTATCATACATCATTGAAAGGTTGTTTCTTTGTCTATTTTTCAACATAATCATCTTCTCTGTCAGTACATTTTTTGGGCTTCTTAATACAGTTTAGGTAGCCCGCCGCAAAGGTCTCCGGTTTTAGCCGGTTTTCGAATTTTACATAGAAAATAAACTTTTGCTCGAATATTTTGTAATAACAAAAATTTACCCGCAAATTTAGTGCGATCTAAAGCAGAATTTGTCTGAGTTTATTTATTGTTCAATTTTATTGATAGTAAACAAAATTATTTTAATTTTAATTAGCAGAACAAAAAAAATAATGGTTTATCTGGATTAAATAACTTTGAAAATAATTATTCGTTATTATATTTTTATATTTTATGATAGTGTGTATATATTTTTATGACAGTGAAAGGGAAGTTTTTGAATAAATAAAATAACACATTTTTGAATAAGAAACATTTATTAAGTAAAAAAGAAATAAAAATACATTAGATACATGTTGACACATACTTGTTAATATCAATTTTAGCTTTAAAAACAATTAAGATAAACTCCGAGTATTTTCTATCCCGAACAATTTCTATTAATTAATTTTAAAAATTCTAATTATTTTTTTGTTTAATAAAACACGATTTAAAAAAAAAACTGGTAACTATCGATTTGTTACCTGGACGTGTCCTTTGTTTACTCACAAAATTTGAAAAAAAATAAAATACTCTCTCACTTGCGACCAGCTAGGCTAAATTGTTTTTAAAGCTTGATATAATAATTCTAAGTTTTTTGTTCTTTTAGTTGCGGCTTCTATTGCTATTTTTTTTTGGAGTTTGAGTAGAGGAAGTTACTTCTTCAAGAAGTTACACCGATTTAAATTAATATATACACTGGTACAAAAATCTAAATTAATATACATATTAGACAAAAACATAACACAAAACCTTTCTGGGAATCATAGCAGACTAATAAGATTCCAAATGCTATTGAACCGATATGATTCCAAGAATCAAAACGCTTGAAATTATCTTTTATATTTGGCTATATTTGTCATTTTTCATTTATACAGTGAGAACCGACAAAACCCTAATTGACACCCAAAAACTGTCTCAAAACCTACATATGGTAGGGTATACGCAACATACATGGTCTGTTCAAAAAGTACCCGGAATTACTAATAATTAAATTTCGCGGGTCTGGAGTGTCTGATTGTCAAAATTTTTTTTTATTGTGTTGGTATACATGCCCCTAAAGTATGATGAAATTTTCAGCTATATTCACTGTTTACTTTGTCTGTGGTAGTCGCTAAGGTTCGACGTGTTTTTCTGAGCTCGGCGATTTTTACAATGGAAGAATTGAAAAGTCAAAGAATTTGTATTAAATTTTGCGTAAAAAATGAAATAAAGTGTTGCAAAGTGCAAAAATTCACCAGATATGGCTCCGTGTGACTTTTTCCTATTCCCAAAGTTGAAGAGACCCATGAAAGGACGGCGGTTTTCCTCGATTGAAGAAAATCGCCGAGAGTGCTCAAGGACATATCAAAAAGTGAATATCAAGGGTGCTTCGAAAATTGGAAAAAACGCTGGCATAAGTGTATTATATCTGGGGGGGACTACTTTGAAGGGGACCACATTAATGTAGACGAATAAATAAATATTTTTTTGAAAAAACGAAAATTACGAAAACTTTTTGAACAGACCTCGTATGTAGACCTCGAGACAGGTTTAGGGTGTCAATATACAAGTATTTACAGACTTTACTTACTGCTGGGTATCTCGAATTCCGAAGTGAATTTACCATAATGACTGGATTGTAAGACATTAATCAACCATGTTGCACACTCGAAAACAATTGAGTTTTGCTTTTTACACAACCCTTGTAATTTTCGATATATTGGTGTGAGTAATTCGTTGCTGCACAATTAATATTAATATACATTATTAAAAATGACTAATTATAAAATAATTTACAATCATAAAACAGCCAAAATATTTTTTGGAAATAATTCATATATTCATTTTGGCATTAACGTTTTTCTAAAAAAACTTGCTCAAAGCCGAATTTATAAAGATGCACCTCGAATTTCGTATGTCGAAGGAACGAAATGAATCGTTCTTTAGACGGTCGTATCACAACACACTTGAATGTCAGGTCAGGTCGTAAGTCGGTGTACCATTGTATAAGTGATAATAAATTTAAATTTTTATTTATATCTATAAGCACATATATCAATTTTTTTTTTCTAAGGTCGCCCATGGACGGAGGAGAATTAATGAAAGAACGTGTTCATCAATTTTCATTAAAAGCTTCCAACTTTTTCAAAATAGTCAAACTCAGACAAAATGAGAATGAAGTAACTCAAAGTGTGGTCGATATTAAAAAATCTGATAATGTTGATACTACAAATCAATCTGATTTATTGAAGAAAACTGGTGGTAGCAAATGTGATCCTATAGTTTCCAAATCAGAAGACGAAACTACAAGTTCGTTACAAATAATCGCTTCAAATTATTCTAGTCCTCTGTCCTCAGAACATGAAGCTGCATCTCCAAAAATAGAACCTGTAGATATTCCAGATTTGCGACTTAAGTTATCTAAAAAAGCTTTTAGCAATAGTAGATTCAAAAATGTTATTGTACAATTTGATAATAGGAAAGCCGGGGAAGATGTTAGAAAGAAAAATTGAAGTTGTGAGGAGACATTCCTTTGGTAGTGAAGAAAATTCTAATGATGCAAAGAAAATGGTTGATAAACTAAATTGGCTAATGCAAGTAGTAAAGGATACTAATAAACTTGAGAATGATGGAAAGAACACTAAAGATTTAACAATCAGGAGGAATATTAGCGGTCAAACCAAAAATAATGAGGCGTTGCAATTACGCAATCAAGTATTAAAATCAGCACCAAGTACGAAACATTTAGCAAAGAAAAATAAGACAGCAGAACAAGCTGATAATCCATTTGCACAAAATGTTGACTATTCAGTACCTTATTCTCCAACACAGCCAGTGCATGATCTGTCACAAAATGACAGCTGTAATAGCATTCACACAGTAAGTTCTGAAGAAGTGTATGTACCAAATACAAAAGTCAACATCAATCCAAGCATTTCCTGATGAAGAACTTGGAGTTGTCCCGCATGAAGCTCCTTTACCTGGTCCTTGGGTTCCGGTGGAAGAAAAAGCAAAGGAATCAGAGAAAAAGTTAATACCACGCAAACGAGTTCGCACAAAAAGTATAGGAAATAATAAAACTAATAAAGTCACCCCTACAAAGATAACAGCTGTCACAAAGCCGAATTTGGCTAAAACTGTAAAACATAAAATTGTTATTAAACCAATTGTTACCAAAATTCCTACGGTCGATTCAACAAATAGTGATTTAAACAACATTGAGAATAAAACCTCTGTATATGAAAGCTTGGAAAGAAGAGCTTTTGTCAAAGTCGAGCAATAAAGTTGCCGATAGTACTAATTTAAATAAAGAAAATGCATTGCAAATAAATGAAAAATATGATATAAATATACAAAGCAATAATGATGTGGTTAAAAATAGAACTATTGTTGAATCTGCACAAAATAACACTGCCTGTGATTCTAAGAAAATTAGTGAGATTTCTCTAAGAACTTCAAATAACAATAATAAACCAAATTTAGATGCAGTTATAACAAATAAAATTATGAATGATAGTAATCTGCAACTTTTTAAATTGGAGCAACAGGATATAAAATGTTCAGAAACACCCAACAGTAAAAATGATAACCAAGTATTTAAATTATACAATGATCAGGAAAAAGATAAACGGGAAACATCTGAAGAGAACAAAGTAAACCCACAAACATCAACAGTTACCACTAATATTGATAATTCTGACAGGATTAACGTACAAACAAGTAATTTAAATGAAAAAAAATTAGTATAAGTGATCAATCTTTAGAAACCAAGGCAGATACTCTTAGCAGAAGCGATCAAGAATCTTTAAATTCTAGTCCTGAAGAAAAAAATATGCTAATTGAAAATAATACTCATGAAGATTCAGAAGGAACCAATAATCAAAGTATACTGCAAAAGTGCATTGATCAAAACCTGTGCAAACCAAAAATTAATTCCGAGATTGAAGAAAGTTCTTGCTCGAGCCATGACAGCGCTTACACCTTGCTCAGTTCCCAAGAAGATTGCTCAAGTGATTCGTTCATCAATAGCTTAGACCACATGTCTAAATTACAAACAAATTCTGATTACATACAATACCCTAAATCAATGTTTCAAGAATTATCTAAAAAAAGTATGCTTGTTAAATGGTTCCAAGGCAAACCTTTGATTAAACGTGACCATTACCCTTATTTGAGATACATGAAAAAAAGTTCACAAGCTAAACAAGCTCTTAATGAGCTGGTGGATATTGATTGTGATGTTCTAAAACAAGACGATGATTGTGGAAGTGATATCAATGAAGTAGTAATGGATGATAGAAGTGTAGAATTAGTGAAAAGAAATGATAGTGAAGTTCAAATTAAAGACAATTGTGAATTGATAGAAATCGAAGACAGTTCTAATTCTAGTGATGTAAAGGTGATAGATAATGGAGCAATACGGACAACAGCAAATAGTTTAGAATCTAAGGATACGAGTTGTAATAAACAATTGAAATTTAAAGTGATGGAGTACAATTCACCATTGGATAATATTCAAAATAGCAGGCAAGTAATTTATTTAATTTAAAATAAATTTATAGGCACTAACTTCAGTTTGGAGTAGTATAGACAAAGAGTTTTCTCTATACTAAGAATTGTTGTTGTATTTATGTTACTATGATCTGTTTTAATGAGCAATTACCGTAGTTCTGCTTTTAAAACAAATAACCTGCATAAAGCTAAAATGTATTTTTTCAATGTGATTTTCTATGAAACACACTTAAATCTGTAATTCTGTTAATTATATTCCTGAAAGCGCGGCTTTTTAAACCAAACTTTAATTAATTATTATAACTCTCTCTTTTTGTAGAACTATGTGAAGTAATCACAGAGCAAATGTGCTTCACCCTGTTTTGTTATCGTATATATAATAATTTAAATTTTATCAACTTTTGAGATTATAAATAATCGCGTGAAGAACTCTTTTCTAAATATTCACAAGATACTTTATTGTTACATGTTTATATTATTTAACATGAATTATTCAATGGTTGCACGCATGTGTTTTATCAATACAATAAAGTCATTCATTTTACTCAATCCAAATAAATTTACGCATTTCCAAATAAAGAGCTATTATTGTTTTTTTTTTATCGCAAAATATATAAACAATATTTTATTTATTTTATTAAATTATTTCTAAAATATGAACAATAATATTGAGTTTATAAAAGAAAATATTAAATGTTTATAAAAGAAATAATTAGAAATACATTTGCATATATGTAACGAATCGCTTTCATCATGATTTTACCATTTATTTCCCTATCTTATGTGATATTCAAGTACATAACCGGTATTCGGCCGAATAGTATAAATGATGCCAAATATTCTAAATAACAAAGAGTACCTGAATAGTAATGCAAATCTGATTAGGGGAATTTTTCTGGGGAAAAACGGCTCGGCTCCTCTCGCAAATCTTATCAACGCCAATCCTTATTTATTTTCTTTGTATGGCTTCTAAATTTTTAAAGTTGATGCGAGATTTTAAATTTTTAAATTTGATTTTTAAATTGTTCCTGTTTTAATTAACAGAAATGTGCAAAATTTCAGGCATTTTCGAAATGTGCAAAATTTCAGGCATTTGACCCTCGTCTGGCAAGGGCATAAGCTATCCAGAATCATCTGGCAATTGCATAGACCTTTTTAAAATCGCTTAGACAAACCTGTATATAAATTTGAATCTTACAAGACAATGTTTATTTTCAATTCTCACTTTTTGGCTCACTTGTGCAGGTCGAAATGGTCTGGCAGTTTGATTTTTGAAATTCTCAATATAAATATTTGAGTTTTATAATAGAATCTAGGAACGATAAAGGATAACTGTTTAAGAATTTGAGCACAGCATTGTTACAAATTTTATATAAGAACAAAATAGTTTCAGCAAAACGACGTGTGGCAAAAGTTATGTTGAATTTATGTAGTAATATATTGTGTTTGATTTAACTTTTGTGTTTTGAAATGTAAATATTTTAGAAATATATATAAACTTTCTCTAGCGTGTTGATATGATATGAATAATATTTTATATATTACATATTGCATTTCTCTCGCAGTTCAAAATGGAAGTGCTCAGACCCCAACGCCATCCTGTGCCCTTACGAGCTCATGGGCAGCTGCAGAGACCAGGAGTGCCAATATAAACATTTATCGAACTGAAGATACTTCTCTCAGATCTAATACGTAAATACTACATAGTAACATTTTTTAACAATTACATTCCAATTATATAAATATAGTCATTAATTTAACGTTTTGTATATTTTATAGATTTTTCAACTAATAACTTTTTTTCTAGATTTTATTAGATCTGAGGGTTCGATAAATATGGGAGAACGGGTATGTTTACATGATGCATGCGGGTTATATATATATATATATATATATATATATATATATATATATATATATATATGGCGGAATGAACACCATATGAAGTTGAAGGACGTCAATTGATGACAATGGCGGAATGAACACCATATGACAGATGTCAGTTGAATAACGTCAATTGATGATAAAACTAAATTATATTGGGCTACGTTGATTCGGATCTGGCATCAAGCAAGCTATAACGATCTGATTGTTTTTATACGATCGAATTTTATTGTCGCGCTTTTTAAAGCGATCGAAAATATTGTATCGAGTTTTTTGCCAATGAGCGTTTTCTCGTGATCGAAATTTAGATTTGATTTAATGTAATATCAACATCTTTATCAATTGAGACATTAATAAACAGTCATTATCGAGTTGAAATAAAATTATTGCGATTTCATTCAAGATTAATTAATTAATAATATATGGCCCACTAGCGCCATAATTTATTAATTAATTAATTCTTGAATGAAATCGCAATAATTTTATTTCAACTCGATAATGACTGTTTATTAATGTCTCAATTGATAAAGATGTTGATATTACATTAAATCAAATCTAAATTTCGATCACGAGAAAACGCTCATTGGCAAAAAACTCGATACAATATTTTCGATCGCTTTAAAAGCGCGACAATAAAATTCGATCGTAATAAAAACAATCAGATCGTTTATCTTGCTTGATGCCAGATCCGAATCAACGTAGCCCCAATATAATTTAGTTTTATCATCAATTGACGTATTCAACTGACATCTGTCATATGGTGTTCATTCCGCCATTGTCATCAATTGACGTCCTTCAACTTCATATGGTGTTCATTCCGCCATATATATATATATATTAAATGATAAATATGAACAATATAACACTCAGTTTTTTAACACGCACTTTTTTAATAATTACAGACATTTCGAGGTTATGGTATGCTTCATATTCAGTGTGATTTCAAAACAGTTAATTATATACTAACACATTATTTAATATTTTATTTAAATATCATTTAAATTTTGAAAAACAAAAAACACCAACTATTTCTCACAAAGCTTGACACAATGCATGTGTAGAGTAACTGTTTTGAAATTTCACTGAAGTCTCGAAACATCTGTAATTATTAAATGAAGTGTATGTTAAAAATCTGAGTGTTGTATTGTTAATATTTAACATTTAATACTCATTCCACTCATATCACAAAATTATATATATATATATATATATATATATATATATATACATGAATATATTTGTGATTTTTGCAAATTCATTTTTCATTATGTAATTTCAATGCATTCTTTTTTTCCTAATTATTTTACGTAAATCAGTGAACTATATTCCATTATATCAAACCTGAAATTCAAATAAAAAATATTTAAAAAACCGTTTTTAATATACTTTATTGTCGACATTTCAGTACTGTGTACGTTTTAGCCTCAGAACTTACGTCAGAACATATTCTTAGCTGGAAGATAAACGACAAAACTGACATAATAAAATAAATGAATGGATTATATAATGAAATATGAAACTGAACAATGTATGGTAAACACGAGTATTACTGTCAGTCACACTCAGTATTTCAACTATCACTTTTTTTTACAAAATATGTTCTTGTAACTTTTAAATTAATACAGATAATACTCTCATTTTATTTCTCATCATTCTTTTACAATCTGATACAATACAACCTGAGTTGATAACGAGATTTCGTAAAACATGCGTAAATCATAATTTTCGTCATTTATTTCAACTGGATTTGACAACAATATTACATAGTTTATTTAATACAATGTATTATGTTTAAGATTTTTTTTTTATAAAATACTTAACGATGAAAACATATTTAATATTTGAAACATCTTCATACTCGTTACTGAAACTTTCTGAAACATCTTCATACTTCATTGTTTTACTCTAGTTATCTGATATATTTTACTCAAAATGCACAAAGATAAATCTTAACTTAAATACGTAATTTTTGTTCTAATATATTTAACTAATGTTTATTCAATATTTTTCATTTTTCTCTCGATCATGCTAAATGTATATTTTGTGATCTTCTAATTTTTTGGGGAACGTAGTCTTTCATTCTAAGCTTTTTCTGCCTAACTTTTTTGTCTATCTCTAACTCGTTTTCTCTATCCCTAACTCGTTTTCTCTATCCCTAACTCATTTTCTCTATCCCTAACTCGTTTTCTCTATCCCTAACTCGTTTTCTCTATCCCTAACTCGTTTTCTCTATCCCTAACTCGTTTTCTCTATCCCTCCTAACTCATTTTCTCTATCCCTAACTCGTTTTCTCTATCCCTAACTCGTTTTCTCTATCCCTAACTCGTTTTCTCTATCCCTAACTCGTTTTCTCTATCCCTAACTCGTTTTCTCTATCCCTAACTCGTTTTCTCTATGCTTAACTACTTTTCTCTATCCTTAACTCCTTTTCTCTATCCTTAACTCCTTTTCTCTATCCTTAACTCCTTTTCTCTATCCTTAACTCCTTTTCTCTATCCTTAACTCCTTTTCTCTATCCTTAACTCCTTTTCTCTATCCTTAACTCCTTTACTCTATCCTTAACTCCTTTACTCTATCCTTAACTCCTTTACTCTATCCTTAACTCCTTTTCTCCATCCTTAACTTTTTTTCTCTATCCCTAATTCTTTATCTATAACCTTCCCTTCATTTATCTGAACTTCTCTATATATATCTATCTGTCTCACTCTATACATTTTTTCAGTAAGCTTCACTTCAACACATGCATGATATTTCAACAGGATCTATTTTATTCCTTATTGTTTATATATTACGAAGTTTTACTTCTTACGCTCGGAGATTCACACCACACTATTTTTTTATCTTGTAAGTGAGGGTTCTTGACTGATGACAACGTTTCGGAACTTTGTAAATTTGTAAGGAGTAAATTATATTTAAAAAAACTGTTTTTTTATTTTTATTTGGATTTCTGGTTCTAAACACAATAAAAAATAAATATATTGTAATATTTTGAATGAAAGCTGAATATAAAGGATATATTTTTTGATTAACACTAATTCTATATATATATATAGAATTAGTGTTAATCAAAAAATATATCCTTTTATATTCAGCTTTCATTCAAAATATTACATATTTATTTATATATATATATATATATGTGTGTGTGTGTGTGTGTGTTTGTATATATGTATTATGCAATTTACAGTATGTATTTTTATTATATGTGGTTTTATATCTGCACTGTTCATTCATATTTGTACTCGTTTCAGATGAAATTCACCTGGGAAAGAAAATTCACAATTAACCAGTAATACATGAAATTAGAAAAACCACAGAAATTTCAAACAATGGAATTATCCAAATTACGAAGTAAAAATGTGTGCCATAATTTACACATAAATATAATAGGTTTATATGTGTAATAATATCAACTAAAACAATTCTAGTGTAATATTGAGTTTGGACCAAACCAAATTATCGTTGTTTCAAATGATTACTGGGTAAGTATGTTTTATGTATAACTCTATATTAGCACGAGTGATGTTAATAAATAAAGCTGCACCAAAGAGACTCTACGTGAAATGTTGAAATAAATTAATAGTGATCAGTGCTGCAAGTGCGAGGACAAATTGTTAGGTTTTTTCTATTGATATATATTTTATGCAAAAATTGGTCATTACATTTATATATATATATATATATATATATATATATATATATATATATATATATATATATATATAAATGTCTACATACATGTATATACATAAATCTGTCCCAATCAAATATTTAGATGTTATTTTTTGAATTTGAATGCAGAATGAATTATTTTTGCTTCTTTCGTGTATGTGTATGTGCGCGAGTTTGGATTTGTTATAATAATTTAAAACAAGAAGCCATTTACTTGTAAATAACAAATGTAAAATTTTGTTTGTAAATATTGAAGAAGAGAATAAAGTTTATAAAAAAATAACAATGTTTTAATTGATTTCATTTAGCATTTTTCAGTTTTTCATATGTTTCAGGAGGATAGCACATTATTTTCAGTTTTGATTAATGATAGTATAATTAAAAAGATTAAGTCTGTGAGTTAATAACTTTTTATGTATATTTTGAATTTTCTATTGAACTATAAAACATGCCACCATTTCTATGTTACCTTCCCTTTTTATTTATCATTTGAGTACAAAAAGTGTTTCATGGGCTATTATCATTTCAAAGTTTATGCTTTTGCAGAAAATTCAACAGCTAATGTTATGCTTTCTTAGTGTTACAAGTCATTCTGAATCGCGTTACACCAAATTTGGAAGGAGATTGTGTTGCAATCATATTTCTTATACACATATATGTGTATTAAAAGTTAGTTTCCCACGACTCTCAGCCAAGCCGTTTCTTTTTAATTGGTAGGAAAGTTTCCGTCAAAAATTTTGACCGAATTCATAATCAGTTGGAATTCGTGTTAATTTTTATCGGTTAATTATAAAAAAGTGATTCGGCAAATCGTCGTGCTTAACTGATCATCTTATCGATTTTCATCAAAAACACAAGCATACACTACTTTTCTGAAGTAGTAAAACGGTCGTTATAGGACTATATATAGTATAGAGGGAAGTAAACGGCGGAGCACAAGCAAGGCTTCAAGAAATCAAAATTCACCAAATATAACGAACGGATAGTTCAATGAGAAAAATGATTTAGTGCAAGACCTATAGAAATACGCAATAAAGAACTATACGACGTGAATGAGTGCAGCCGAGGAAACATTAAAAAAAGAAAGCCAGGGTACATCTGTCAGAATCGTAAAATAAAAAATTAGAGAACATTTCGCAAACCGAATGCTCTGTTAATTCGGCCTATCGAAAAAGTTAATTATTCCGAAATTTTTCGCCGTGATAAACTAGATGTCCCTGACGATCAGGTCAACACGACCTGCAAAATAAATAAAATTAGATACGGAGACTTGCTAATAACTATTTCCGAAAAAAGCGCGGGCATAGACCAGGGCTTGCAAAAGGTCATTGCAGGCGTATCAAAGAATGAGGCCGAAGTAACCAATAAAATATTGAAGTTGAAACCTAGAAATTGATATCCAAACTGCGCTACAAAAAGCAACCGTTGTACTACAAGCGGCAAAATACGAATTCGATGGGTAAACTATCGAGTTAACACTACTAAGAGACCAATTCAATGCTATTCGGACATTACGGAGCAGAGTGCAGGGAATCGGACCAATTGATGCATTAGATGTGGACATGAAGGTCACAAAATAGCCAACTGTATAAATGCAGCAAAATGTGCACTATGCGCCGAAAATGGAAAAACTGAGAATGTAGCTAATCATGCCGGCACACACAGATGTCCTGTATACAGACAGGTCTTAGAGAAAATAATTATCACAAAAACATGAAGATAATGCAGCTAAACATGAATCATTTTGTACACCGTTAACAGTAGCATCGCTGGATTTGTAGCAGCATCATTAGATGGCATACATTTATACAGCAGTTTATAAATTATATATTTATACTCCACTTAGCCTTTCTATATCAGATTTTGTTTATTTCTTAGATCGTCTAGTATAGGATGCATAATAGCAATTTCACGCATTGGTAGCAGGCAGAATAATGCAAGAATTATAGCACTTTTAGAGGCTTTTACTGCACTGGATCTGGTTTCATTAAATAGTGGTGATTCTTCGTCAAGGGCAATGCAAGTTCAATAATAGACCCTACTTTTGTTACCAATAGCCTCGTTAGAGAAAATTGCAATTAAAAGGTATTAGATATATATATATATATATATATATATATATATATATATATATATATATCTATTATATAAAAATAAGTCGGGTTTTCCTTCCTGACGATATAACTCCAGAACGTACGAACCGATTTCGACGATTTTGCATTCGTTGGAAAGGTCTCGGACTCGGTGAGGTTTATAGCTTAGAAAATTAGTGGTGCATGGCATCGTGCCCTAATGCAAATTGCTGGAACTTCACGCACCGTAATTAAAAATTCGAGTAATGAAAATAATCAACAATTGTTTTAAATAATTTCAAATAGATTATTTACATATATATAAAAATAAGTCGGGTTTTCCTTCCTGACGATATAACTCCAGAACGCACAAACCGATTTCGACAATTTTGCATTCGTTGGAAAGGTCTCGGGCTCCGCAAGGTTTATAGCTAAGAAAATTAGTTGTGCCTGGCATCGTGCCTTAATGCAAGCTGCTGGAACTTCACGCACCGTAATTAAAAATTCGAGTAATGACATTAGTGAGAATTATCAAAATTATGCTTGGTTAAGTCAACGAGCAATTCTTGCCGCAAAGAATAATGATATACACGCCCTGAATTTCACCATTCAATCAAAAATTGCTGGCGATTTGGTGACATACCAATGATTCTGACTGGTCTTCCGTTTGACTTCAAACGATCGCAATTTCCAGTTCGCCTTGCGTTCGCAATAACAAGTCGCAAGGCCAATCGCTTAGTGTTTGCGGGATAAATTTCAAATAGATTATTTTGAAAATCATTGTATTTCACATGGGCAGTTATACGTTGCCTTTCCACGAGTTATAAAACCATCCGCTTTATTTGTGTTAACGTCAACCAAAAAACAAAAAATGTAGTTTACCAAAGAGCACTTCAATGAAACGGATAATTTGCGGAATTACTTTCATTTATTTAGAGAAGTTCAACTAAAAAATACTTCATTTTTGTAATTGAAATAAATTCATTACTGTTGTATAATAAAATTAATTTTTTCCTTTTCAAATATAAAACAAACAAAAAATTTCTTCATCTTTCACACGAAACCATCTGGTGGCGAAACGGAGTTCGTCGGGTTTGCTAGTATATATATATATATATATATATATATATATATATATATATATGCACTGCTAGTTACAACAAGGCAATCATCTGGGAAATAACAACGAATAGAAATATTTGAAGACATTTAAAGCTATCTAAGGCCATTGGGTGGAAAATAAAATCTTGAATGGCAACCAAAGAAATAGGCTTCAAACTCATGTTTATTACTATACTGAAAATGTTTATTTAAAAAAATAAAACTAGTAGAAAGTGGCATTTTGCCTAAAGGCCAATTGCATGAACTTTGCGAAATGTAATTGACTTATTCAAAATAAAATGATATTTAGATACAATTTTTAACTGGACGATTACATATCATGTACGTAAGTAGCGATATTAATTAATGATTTATATTAATGATAACAGTTTTTACATAACTCGATAAGTTTTGTAGACTTATTTTTCCGCTAATTCAAAGAATTGGCGCTTAAATTTGTGAAATCACAAAAGCGACTTTTGACACAAATTTTATTATTTCAAACTTTGATAAATTTTCAAAATTAAACGACTTGTCCAAGGGCCGTAGTATTTTAGTATGTACTTCAGGATCATGATGCCTATCAACATAAAAAGTATCATAGAGAAAAATTCAACAATTATTTACGAAAAAACGGCTGGGCTGATCTGTTTTCAAAACTCATCAGCACTATCTCATGTAATATACTTCATAGAGTTTTAAATTTTTAAAATCGGATCAGAATTTTTCACTTTTCTCTTAATTACTAAGAAATGGCTCGTCCGATCGTCACACAAAACTGAGGAAGGATAGTCATCATTTTTTAAAATTAAATTATAAAATTATAGCAGGGTCGTAATATTTTAGTATTATCTAGAATGACCAAGACCTTTGGAAAAAAATGTTGAAATGTTAATTACAAGAATTTTGTGCCAGCGAATTTTTACCAAAAATTAATCAGGTCGATTCCCAACCAATGTCTTTCGAACAGTTTGTCAATTTTTTAAAATGATTTAGAATATATAAATATGTTTCACTTTTCTGCTATACGAAGAATAGCGAAGAACACGAATATACGAAGAATTGGCTCGACAGATCGTTGCGCAAAACTGACAAACGCGAGTCCTTCACATCGAATATGGCTTTTAAATTTTTTAAATTGAACTAGCCTTTTTTTAAAAAAACTTCAAAAATCTTTTCACACATACACACATACTTTTCCCAAATATGGTCTCATTTGATTCAGAATGGCTTGAAACGTCGAGAAAACATAAAATTAGCAAATCGGATTTTTTTACGAAAACATCAACTTCTTCGGGAAGTTGATATAAGCGGGCAATAATGTAAACATCTAATTATATCTAATTACATCTTACTAGATGACCCGACAGGCGTTGTCCTGTACCGACATCCACAATTTTTTAATACCGTATACTAATATTTACCGTTTACCTAAAAATAATAATTATTGTTTTTTAAATTACTCTTCACACCAAAATGCATATACATACATTTATCATATGAGCGATGTTAAATGTAGAACTGCTTTAAATAAAATGATGAGTTTTAAATCCCACACTATATTGTAAATTGAAGTCTTTTAAACGGTATAACATAACCATAACTATAACATAACACTGGTACTTCATGTTGGATTAAATTAATTTAATTTTATATTATTTAAGATATCCAAAATTGCATCTTAAACTTCTAATCGATATCGTCAGGGCCGATATCGTATTAATTGTATGTATTCATCTTTACTTTCCATTTGTTGTTTCAAAGTGAAATTTTTATGAATTTTAAAAATATTGTGGAAATATTGGTAAAAGATTCAAAGAAATTATATATTGAAAAAAAAACTATATTTA